ACTTAGTAGACCATAAATTCCTAACCTATGAATCAGCCTTCACATAATCGTGAGATTTTTATGAATTTTGGCGGTCGTAGTCGAGTAAGTTATTACGTGTCCCCAATGTTACGCATTATCTTTCTCTTTTTTCCTTAATAGGAAACAAACGAAATATTTTTAATCAAAAAATACCTTTGAACGATGCGTTATCTTATTAAATGCACCAAGTTAGTCCATGGCACTAGGCCTAAACATCTGCGGATCAGTCATCGTGTTTCTTAAATTTCATGAAACACACAACCGTTTTACTGCCATGTCCGACGATGTCCAGCGTGCGCTCCGAAACAAGATAAAGCAGGAGCGGTGACTTGCACCTAAATTAGTTTATACTTAGGGCGAGACTTGCCCAACATCTACCTCACTCTCTCCTCCAACCAAACCTGGGTCCGGTTTCAAGACATAGTTAATAAGACCGAAGATGGGCGATGGCAGTGTGTGACCGATCTCATAAAATGTTAGCTGAAATTCTGAAAAGCGTTCTCGATTAGGAAGAATTACTTAGCATGGATTGTAATATTGCTCATCATTAGACATAATCCTATAGTATTTCGGACTTGCCAGGATGTCGCTTTTGGACCTTCTACAGAAACCACATTCGGTAAAAAATGACTGCTTATAAAGCATGCATTTTTCACATTGATTTTCGAAGGTCCTATAAATTCGAATATATTTTATAGAAAGAATGCATAAAAATATGCTTTCTTTTATTATTCTGGTAATAAAATCGCCTTATCTTCACGTTTTATACTCGCGGAATGTGTATATTCCGGTTTTCAAGAAGTTTTCCGATTCGACAGTAATTTTGAGCCATATCAACCGTTGCATTAGCGTTTAGCGATTCCATTCTACAAGGAACATGCTATCCGCGTTAGGAAAATCATGTATTCCTATATGCCTTTAAGAAGATACCATGTGGGGTTCATTGAAATTTTGTAATGGATGCTGACTATGCTGTACGTTTCAAAAGGTGCACTGGTAAACGGACATGTGCGATGCCGTATATACGGACATCGCACGGTCTTACAGGTCTAATAATTATAAACACTTTTAAAATCGAGAGACAATCCTTCTTAGGGTATAAAATTTAAAGAAAATGTGACAGTACGTGACTTATCTTATGAAATCTGATGGTGGAAACTAAGCAGAGAATTTTTTACGCATCCAATGTTGAAACATTTGTTTGCTCATCCACTTCCTTCAATAAAATATCATTTTCTTGTGCAGAAATTGTGTTTACGTAATTAAATCAAGTAAAATATCAGTAAATTTTATCGAAAATGGACGTTGGAATATATTCGTGCGATTTCCTATGCTAATGCATGTCCAAGACTCCGGTTACGCATCTGAGCGACTTTTTCATTGAAAGGATAGTAATGTACCCGCGAAACTTTGGGAAATAGATGTAGCCAATCTTGAAAACTAATTTTATGTCCGATGTCTTCCACGGTGATCAATCTGCTAAGACAAAGGTTATTTCAAGAAAACTAGGGGTTTTGTCAATTTCTTATTGTCAAATTAGCAGATCTGTGGGATATGGTGTCCAAAAGTGCAGTAATAACGCAGGTAGGGATTCCTTCGTTTACGTGGGCTGAAAGTGTTTTGCCGTTTGGAAAATTCTACCTGATATCACATAGATGCCCACCACAGAATGGTCATTTGCAGCTTTAAACATATGAAACACTACTTGTCGTGTAGTTTAGTTTCTGTGCATAGCTTATTCGGAAATAGAATGAGCAAAACATTTACAGTTTCAGCAAAATATCAGTATTTTTATGGGTGCTGTGCCGTGCATTCATGATCGAAGAACGGAGTCTAAATGTGAGCGCAAACAGTGGAAATGGCCTCAATGTATAGAAAAAGACATGTTTTTGCTTTAACGGCGGAAAAATATTAGTATTGCTTAGGAACGTGAAAGAAACCGCCAAAAGTGCCAAATTTTTACTTGGCCACGCCGTGCAAAAATGCAAAGTACACAGAGATCCGTCAACGGCGTGCAGCAATAAAGCACCTCCCTAAGGGCTAACTTATTAAGGAAAGTTTTCTTATTGATCCAAGGCATATTCTTTGCTGACTTTCGTTGTGGACAGCCATTTTTCTCGAAAATGAAATTTGGTGTGCGAATGAGTCTTCACATGTGACTCAGACGACCATATGCGTGAAAAGGAGCGCCTGAGCACTCCCTAATTCGGTAAATGCCTTCAAGAGCAATCTTATTTTAACTCCTTAACAGACAGGTAATTTAGAATCAGTCTTTATGGAAGATCGGGTGAAAACACTGAAAATCATGAAGTATTCAGCAATATTTCGAGGCCAATCTGAAACTCAACGCAATCCAAAACGAAGGAAAAGTAAAAATTAATTTAACGGAAGAAAAGTTCTCTCTTTAAACACAAAGTGGTATGTTTACGATCACGCCTGTCAGTTCTATTTAAATTTACTAGGCACCGACCGGTCATATGGCATGTCACCATATGAAAACGTCTGAACCTACGACGTCCCCATCGGCGAAATCAAGCAAAATCCAGCTTCTCTTGTTGAACCTCATCTCATTCAGCTCCAAGTAGTCACGGAAATTATAAAACACCGAAGAACTTTTTTGGAATCTACATTCAGAATGTAGGCAGTTGACAAACCGTCATATATGATATCACACCACTTGTTAAATGATATTTAGATGTAAACTACACTAAAACACTGTTATTATACGTTATTTTATGTCTTCTTTCATATTTACTACGTTTGTGGTATAAGAATACATTCTGTACATCAAAAACCGAACTTTACTCAATTAGAGCCATTTCTGACTTTTTCGGGATATTGCGCTTTTCAAAATAAATCGGCATTTCTAAAAAACGCTACACTGCCTTTAATATTTCTTTTATGTTTATAATTCTTTTAAACTTGTAGTTAATTAACATAGAAATCGGACTCATGAAATGGTGTCGGTTTGCGAGGGAACGGCAATTATTCATAAATTTGGACACGTTTCATGAGTTAGGTCACTAACTGTATTTCCTATCAAACCTGTAAAAGAAAGCATATTGTGTGCATGTTTGCTACAAAATATATATAAATTGATAAGAACATCGAAAATCAATGTGAAAAATGCATGCTATATAAGTAGTCATTTTTACTGAATGTGGCTTCCGCAGGAGGTCGAAAAGAAGTGCATTCAATTGCCGACATCCTGACGAGTCTGAAATATTGTAGGATTATGTTGCATGCTTATCAATATTATAACCCTACCTAGGTAATCCTTCCTAATCGAAAACGTATTTTAAAATTTCGACCAACATTTCATGAGATCGGTCGCGCACTGTAGCTGGCACGCTCGGGTTTCCACCTGGGCACCACACCCCTGGTCCACCATAAACACTTGACCAAGACTCCTACTAATAACAGCACAACAACGGGTCTGAGAGAGTAGGGTGACTGGGCACTCGTTCAAACGACCTGTTTCCCCGGGCGAGTGCAAGCGCCTTTACCGGCAAGGAACTAGGCGCAATAGACGAGTCAGTACACAGCAAACTGCGAGAGCCATGATTCGCTAATTATTACAGCAGACACATACAAACCTTGTTGCCCATAGGGATGAATAGCTAGTAGGCCTTATCGCCGCGTCCTAGGACATAGAATTACATATATTTGCAAGTCAGGCTGCTTCAAAGTCGATAAAAACTCTGGTTTTCTAAAAGTTACCCTGCAGCTTACACGTTCTTCATCTGAATTGTTCGCGAAAAGAAACTAACGTCCAAATGTGGTAAGTTTCGTTTTATTAAATCTATTGCGTTTAAATTAATCTCTTTTCATAGAAAAACATGCGCAGTCACGCAAATCTATACAAGGGAACCCCAAAAATACAGAGTAATTGGAATTTTTTCCCAAATATGCACTCGTTATGGCAAATAACTATTTTTATAAACACATTTTGCATGCACAAAACGCATTTGTGGAACAGGCTAGGCGATTAAGTAAAATTTACAGCAGTTCCGCTGTCCACAATTGACCATCTCAATCTTCTTCATCATCATCATGAGCCAGTAACTGTGCTGTTAGTATGGAATCACCTTACCCTAAAGTATACTATTAGCTGCCTGTCGACAGTTAATAAATATTACGCGGTTATCCGCTGTGACTGATGGACTTCGGCTGAAATATGCATACATAAAAACATAGGTCTGAGTCTATAGACCTTAAATATACTGATCTACTCCTGGTTCGCAGTTAATTTTTACGGAAATTACAAAGCTACATTTTCTAAATTGGAGTATCTACCAGAAAGCAGACAGGGAATGCTGGGGGACTCACTGACGAGCCGACACCTGGTAGCTCTGGCATGCAGCGGCAGAATATCGGCGAAACACGCGTGTATGAACTTTTGGCTGGTACCTGTGCTGTTACTATGGAACCACCTTACCCTTAAGTCATTCCCATCAAATTACACATGCTTCTTTGCTTCTTCGGATGTCACATTTTTCCAGCACGCATTTCGATACCGAAAAGTCCACTACGTCTGGTTTTCTTAAATGATATATGAGTAGTCACGCTTTTCACGTATTTCTGAGTGCGCGCTTTACTCTTAATTTAACCCGTGCACCTGAAGTCATTTGGTAATTTTGAAATTTCTGTTAGATACGATCTCTTCTCCGAAAACAAGCTCCGGTTTTGAGGAGGTTGGTTCCCGGTACATTTAACAGAACTGCCGAATGTAAATCCTTTTTCCACTTAAGGCATTTCCATACCGTCTATTTTGCAACAATGGCATGAGATTACATCAAATAACGTGAAAGACTTTCGTGGGAATCAACCCTTTCCTTTTTTCATGGCAAACAGATCGTGTTTTCGTTATTTGCCATTGGTCCGCTAAATGTTATCTGAACACCTAAATTTAATAGTATTTAAGCAGAGGAACTACCGCGATTTTTACAGAATTTGGGGGGCTATCAGAACACTGTGAGATGAGGCTTGTGGTGTACATCTACGCAGCGTGCTTCACTTTGATTAACAGCACATTAGGTATCAATTTAGATAATCGAATAAAAAATACACGTTTCGTAAATGCTCACTATTATTTTTTCTAGCTTTAAGTTGTAATGCCAACAATATAATCTTTACAAATAGTGTTTCTTAGAGACGACATTTTGGCAACGGTACGGAGAAATACCCTACTTTACTGTCGGTAGACTGTGGATCGTTTCATACGTTATTGACGATAGGGATAGTTTTACTGGTGGGCAGCGCACTGGAGAGTAAGCTGACGACAAGCAGGAAAACATAGAAATTGCTCAGATTTCTCCTAAAAGACTCATCGTACGCTTTCGTACGGCAGCGGAAATGAACGCGGTAATAAAAGATAAACAAAGAGTAAATAAAGCAGTTTAAGGGATGGTTTGAAGTCATGGGAAGTGATTGTTATTGGTAGTGTAATGCCTGCAAAGGCCTGCGAAAGAATTCCAAGATATGACGTGATCCTATGACGTGATCCACAGTCTGTCGTCAGTTAAGTGGGGTCCTTCTCTTATAATGTTGCCGACGCGTTTTGAAATTTACACCAGTCCATTATTATGTAATTTTTGCTTTGTTACAATGGCTTCACTTCATTGAATGACCATCCATAAATATCATCCCACACTAGCTAAAGAAGAACGTCTGATCAACGGACTGCCTGAGAATTGCGGAAATCGCCCGGAACTACGCGAGCCATCGACATATCCTCTACGTCAAAAGATAGAAGCTGTAAAAAATAGTTGGCCTTGGCAAGTAAGTCGACAGATATGACAGGTTGCACTTGTATGTTGTCTAGTGTGCGCACAACTTTTTGTTAATTATCCAACGTTTGATGAAAAGCACAGATCTTCCTGCGCAGAAATCAACACGATTAATATGGGCAGATTGCAAAACCACGATATCTGCCCGTTGCCGTAATGATTAAATTTTTGGGAATCACTTGGCAGTCTGCACTGACCCCCGCCACGGGAAACCGTCATAATCTATTCAATACATATGGAATGTGCGATCAACTGACGATTTTAAAATCTGAAGACGATTACTAAAGCTAATTTCGTTTTTTTTTATTCTCAATAGGTTGGTGTGTACGCTTCAACGATTGGGCCCTATCCATTTTGCGGAGGGACACTCATTTCGCCAACATGGGTATTGACGGCCGCTCACTGTATCACTGGGGCTCTTCGATGTAAAGAAATTCCACTTTGTCGACCCTTTTCGTTCGATGAGTTCGTCGAGGATGAAATGGTCGTTCGCATAGGAGACCACAATCGCACACGGCGTGGACGTCCAGCATTCAACCTTCGAGTAAAGCACATCATCATGCATCCGCAATACGAACTTGGAGATGTTAGGGAAGGCTATGACTTTGCTTTACTGAAGCTGAAGCATGAGGTCAAACGATGTATGTCCGGCCATAAAGTTTGAGTTTTGTTGCAGCAGCGCCAGTTTTATGTCGTGCAGACTAACTTGATTTAAACAAAGTGTGTGCTCTCACTCAGAAGGGCTACTTTTTGACACTAACAGCTACGAATTAAGGGTATCTCCAGAACGAATGGCTTAATCTGCCATATACAATTGATTTCGGAAACTTTAAAAAGAACTGTGTTAGTTTTGGCGGCTGCATTTATATTAAATTGCACTTTACCCTGATCGTCATTACTGTAAGCATGTAAATCAACATAACTTGGAGACATGATTGTACAGCCATCGTGGGACGACTGCGAGAGTTGCTAATTATGCTTTATAAATGCTGACATGGTGCCTGCATCCTACACACGCAATACCCTAGTCTGTGATCAGTGGTGTGGGAGAGAATCGGAAGGCACATCTCCTTATTCTGGAAGGGTCATTAAACGGCTGAGCTGTCTTGAGCATTTCATACTATAGGGCTTTTCTTTTTTAAAGGACCTCATGCATGTGGCATCAAAACTGGCAATGCAACTTTTTTATCGCCATAGCAAAGGTGGCGGAATTCGCATGTCTTGCGGAATCCGGATTGAAAATCGGGGTTGGAAAGTTCTGCTACTTTGCCGGATGGGGACTGATTCCAAACCCACCCAACCTACCGAATCCTAACCAGCCGGAAGTGTTGATGGAAGTACGAGGGCAAATAGCAAAAATGTCTGACTGCCAGAAAAGACATCGGCTGGCTAAAAAAAGAAAGCATGTTTGCATTGACGGCAAATATGGGGTAAGATTCACTTTTACAGGGCACATAGATTAAGTGTATTAAACCTAATAATTTGCTTTTCGTGTCATCCAGGCTGCCTGTACGGGCGACAGCGGAGGAGGACTGCACTGTTTAACAGAAGGTGGCAAGTGGGTTGTCTACGGCGTAGCTTCCTACACCGGCAAGAACTGCTCCGGGGAATTCACAGTGTTTGCACTGACTCCACCGTGCTCGGCTGGATCCAACGGAATGTTGTCGCACATAATTAATTAACATTCATTTTGATGTACCATTTTACTTTGATAAAAAGTTTTTCCCAATAGAGACACTACCTGATCATTTTATGAACTGTGCCATATACAAAAATATGTAGGCAGAATGGCATTACCGACAAAGACACGGGAGACCGGAATGGCCATTTCTGGCTTATTAGCCGTCGTCAGCCAGCCATACCCAAGCCCCGAAGTGTGGAACACCCGAGCCTCGAACTCGCGACCTGTTGGTTTAGAAGTCCACGCCTCTATCCACCGGGACACGAGCCCGTTGCCTTGTCGGTTTTCGATCGGCGAATATTCAATGGTAGGGGGCGCTCACCGATCGTTCATACAGAACTTACTCGTTCCGTTGTGCATTAAGGGCTCTCTCTCGAGCCCAACCAGCAGCCGCACAGCGGCGCATGATACATAGACATAATGGCATTACCGACAAAGACAAGGGAGACTGGAATGGCCATTTCTGGCTTATTAGCAGCGAGGAGGAACGACAGAGAATGCGGGCAGATTAATACAGTACTGTTTCTGGCTTATTCTGCCTTCATTCAGCCAATCATAACCCTGACCAACAGCCGGGACCAGGAACACAAAACATGCGCACATGTTTGTGTTTCAGGTCACAGCTCCTGGTTAGGGATATGATTGGCTGAATGAAGAGGAAGTAAGCCCGAAACAGTACTGTGTCAATCTACCCGCATTCTCTGTCGTCCCTTCTCGCTGCTTTTATGACTTGGTCGACCTCGGCCAGGTAAACTGTTGCCTGTCCGTGATCATTGCCACCCATATAGAGCTTGTCGGCTTCATGAAGCCAATAGATCGGTGTGTGCCCATTCCAGTCATACCCAATCGCAATGCGTGGAACCCCTGGGGCTCGAACTCGCGACATGTTAGTTAGAAGTTCACGACTCTAACCACCGGACCACGGGCCCGCTGTCCTGTCGGTTTTCGATCGGGAATATACAATGGTAGAGGGGCGCTCACCGGTCGTTCTTAAGGAACTAACTCGTTCCGTTGTGCCTTACGGGCACTCTACCGAGCCCGACCAGCAGGTGCACAGCGATGCATGATATAGACAGAATGGTATAACCGAAAGGACAACCAGCCCTTGGCTCAGTGTTTAGAGGCGTTCGACTTTCTAATTTGCAGGTCTTGAGGCAGAGTCAAGAAGACTGTAGGTGGGATCTGAACCAGGTGGCTGGCACGGCGTGAACCCGCACCTAGGTTTGTCACAACAACCCCTTACCAGATTTTACACATTAAGAAACGTGGGCAGCTTTGAGGCTAAAAATAGCAGGAGTGCTATAAATACCATAGTACAAAAGAAAAATTGCGGGCCTGAAGGGAGGACCGAGTTATCGCGTCTGCTGGTAGCATTCCATTCAATGTTTTACTCCACAATGATACATCCAAACACGTCAGATTGCTTTTAGTGAGGGCCATGCGATAAGAGAGTCAATCTCACTATAGGTTCCCCTTCCCAAGCAGTAGCAGTGGGTCAGTCAGCTGGTGCGAGGATTGGGCGCATTGGCTGGCAGAGCTAGGCGATTCGTCTAGGCGTGCCGCATACACGACTTGACCGCCCAGACCCAATACACAAAATTGGGGTGGATTGCTCGGATCTCAAATACCCAATACTGTCAGAGGATGAGTTATTGCTGTCTGGCTCTCAGTCCATCAGTCGGCCACACCAGAGTGGGCTGACTGCGAGTTCGGAGATGAGTGCCCAGTTGGCAATATCCCAAACCACGCGCCGTAACTGTTTCGAGTACGAAAGATCGCCCATAGTGAGAAGTGGGCTCCTAAAGTCGTCCTTACGCTCTCCTCCCCCACAACTCGACTGGCCGAGTGGGCCATTTAACTGGTACTAATATTGAGCCAGTAGATCTCACAGCTAACACCAGTCTGATGGGGTCTCGAATGTGTTAGATTAGCAGTGGGGCCATGTGGGGAAGGAGCCGAAGAACAGTACTCCCACTTGCATGAGAGGTGCAATTTCAGGCTTGTGGTGGACAATGGGGGACGCGTTCGTGCATGTCGCATGCACCGTTGAGGACATGTGTGATGACGGGCTTTTACCTACGGTGTTTCCCTACTGGGTCTCAACAAGGTGCAGGTGACTGAGTGGACTCATGTGATAGTTGAATGTGCGTGGGTACTTTGGGAATTCAAATAGGGTTCGGTAGTATTTGTAAGCGCTCCAAGCATTTGTTCGCCAGTCTCTGAGCGCTGGGTCCACAAGTGACCGACCATACCGATGCGCGATGTACATGTATAGTAGCACTGAGGGCAGAATGGGTTCAGAGCTAATGCTGAGCATAGAAGCGAAGAGACGAGTCCCAGGGAGTAGTATTGAAGAAGGAGACATAATCGCTGGGACAAGAGCTTTATTAACCTGAGGTTTCGGATTCCTGCTCCAACCCATCATCAGAGACAAAAGCAGATGCGGGTGGTTCATGCACAAGTGGATGCAGTCTTTATAGGATGCAGTCGCCGTGCTACCGCATAGCTATGAACATTCACGGCTCCCCCTTTCATCCGGGATCGTCACACTTGGTGTGCTAATTGTTTGATGGACGACATTCGCGTCGTTAATTGCTGCAATTTCATCATGTGCGTTGGATGTTGGTGGGATGATTGCTCGACCATCTGACGCACCGACCTTGGTGTTGGGAAAAATGTTCACCTGTGCGCTCCCCGCATGGCTAATTACTCCGCCTAGGCGAAGTCTCAGCACCGAGTATGGAAGGGGAAGATCGTTGCACTTGTTAATGGACTGGGTGCTCACGTGGTAGTCACCTCTTGCGAGAATTTCGGCCTCGTCGAATTTGAATGTGTGGCCGGAACCCGTCGAATGAGCCGTAACTTGAGAGCTGGCGTCATTTCTGCGCACCGCTACCGACTGTTCGACCATTCTCGTTCGGAGCTGTCTTCCGGTTTCTCCGACGTAGTTGCTTTCTCCGCAACTGCACCAGATCCGATAAACGACTCCAGACGTTCCTAGCCGTGACAGCGGGTATTTCGGTTTCATTAGCCGACGCCTGATGGTTGCCTCCGGTCTGTGTGCAACTCCAACCCCAAGTGGTGCGAGAAGGCGGCCGACAGCTTCCGAAATGTTCTTGAAATACGGAAGCGCCCAACAAGATTTGGTGTCCGCGCGGTTAGGCCTTTCGTCCCTTTTGCGTATGCACCGATTGACGAAGTTGCGCGAGTAGCCATTGGCTTTGAATACCCGTCGGAGGTATTGTAGTTCGGCAATCTTGTCTTCCGGCTCACTGCAGTGCGTTTCGACAAGCCGATAGAGCGTCCATACAAAACTGCGTTTGTGGCTGATTGGTTGGTTACTGTTGAAGTTCAGTATTTGCATCGTACTTGTCGCTTTCCTGAACACTTTGGTTTTTTGTCTACCACAATCCTTGCGACATACGAGGACATCTAGGAAGGCCAGCTGGTTGTTTTCTTCCTCCTCCATCGCAAATTGAATGTCCGGGAAGACGGCGTTGAGATGTTCCTTTTATGTCATCAGTTGATTCCGTTCTTTGACGACGAAGGTATCATCCACATATCGGTCCCAGAATTTCGGTCTGTGGTGTTAGAAAACCAACGACTCTAACCGTTGCAGGACCGCCTCGGCGATGAATCCCGAAATCGGTGAACCCATTGGTGTGCCCTTTACCTGTTCGTAGATTGTCCCGTCGAACGTGAAGTATGTCCTGAGACAGAGCTCCAGGAAATGAAGGACTTGTGTGTGTCCAAGACGATTCTCCGTTTCATCGTATTTGCTTTGTAGAAGCAGCTCGATTGTCTCGATCGCCAGGTCTTGGAGAATAGAATTAAAAAGGGATGTAATATCAAAAGATACCATGACCTCATTTGGATGGATGCTTACCCCTTTGAGTTTCTCCAGGAATTGTGCTGACGAAGAGACCGTGCTGTCTGACTCAGCGGTCAGGAACTTGAGACGCCGGAACAGCCACTTAGCCAGTCCGTAAGTTGGAGTTCCTTTGAGCGACACGATGGGTCGGAGAGGAGCACTGTCTTTGTGCATCTTCCATAGAATCGGACCAAAGCCATGCGTCTGTCGGTCGGTGTTATTGCATCTGAGTTCTGCAAGGCCAACAACGTAGAATGCATTTCGCGTGTCAGCGCTTTTAAAGGGTTCGTTGCACATGGGACATAGAACTGTCGGTCCTCCAGTAAACTTTTTTTCTTTTTGAAGGTAGTCTGTCCTGTCCAATACAACTGTGGCGCGTCCTTTGTCCGCTGGCACGATGACCAGGTCTTTGTCGGCCCTGAGCTCTCTAAGCGCATCACCTTCGACCCTGGAAAGCACTTCCCGCGGTCTTTGGGCCATCAAGAGAGACGACACTTGGTGTCAAACAGGAATCCCAAACGTCGGGCTAATAAAGCTCTTGTCCCAACGATCGTGTCTCCTTCTTCAATGCTGGGCATGACAACATTGCTGTGAATTAAGTTGCCGCGAATACCTTTGTGACTAAACCGGTCTATGCGGTCTGGTGATGTGCGTGGGCAGTTGACACAATTTGCATTCGCCGTCCGTTGGTTACCAAAGCTTCCAGCGCATTGGGAGAGTTCAGAAGTGTATTTGTTACTTACATCGCTGCATTCGAGCTGGCAGGCCAGCATTTTGTCCGCGCATTGGTGGGCAGTCCTAGATAGGCCGACTGGAGATAAAAGTAGACGCAGTGGTCGACATGACGTACGGCCATGTCTAATGTCGCGTTAGTTTAAAGGAATGCCAGCATATTTGAGAAGGCACTGTTACTCCTTGCAAGTAAATTGAGGATCTATCGACGACATCTCCCCCAGTTGTTCGGAAGTCAGCTTTGCTAGTTGATTCTTAAAGAGACTGAAGAATTCTCGACAGCACTCAACTCACGAATGGCTATTTGAACTGAAAGCACCAGAAGGAATTCATCAGAGATTTCGGTAAGATGATAGTTGGTAGCCGTGCCCACAGACTCCACAATGGTACCTACTGGA